GGTCGCCGTGCGGGCCCACCGGGCTGGGTGGAGAGGAGGGGCACAGCGCTGCCGCCGGCGGGGGGCGAGCGAGGGGCTCCCGGCTGCGGTGCTCCCGCACTCGGTGGGAAGCTGTGGCACCTTCTCCCGGTAAATGTCCCCCTTTACTGTCCCGGAGGCTTGCAATCAAGCCTAAGTTACAGGTGTTTGGCCAGTTCGCTAGACTACCCAAAAGATAACGTGTGCGTGGTAGAAGCGGGTAATTAAAACTCACCTAATTATTACACTATCCTATATATTGCATCAGTACCTGATACGGTATTATCTAATATCCCAGTGAGAAATGCAGGCTCTGCCTGTCCCTTTCCCCTTCCAAAACACAGAAAAGTTGTGTGGCTGAGTATATAGGTACACAGATTTTTAGCAATAGACGGTACTGGGCCAGCATAAGAGTGATGAATGTTAGGTTAAATATACACAGCTTTGTTTCCAGGTTGAATGTAAAATCTAAATTAACCTGGCATAGTCTTGGAAGTAAACTGTCATGTCTGGGTGCTTCTGTGGCCTCTTTTCTGACTCTTCCCCCCCAGAGCATTCCTGAAGCACTTAGTGTATAACTAACCGCAAGCTGTTTACATATTTGCAGGTAATCGACGGCTGAGATGTCACAGGGGTGTGCAGTTCCTTTCTAACAAATGTGCTGCTTTCACTATTTTGCTTTTATTCTCAAACTCAAGGACACTTTGCCTAAATGTATTAGCTGCAGGCAGTGCTCTTAGTGCACAAGCTGGTGTATTATTAGTCCTTTTGTTCTCTCCAATTGCTGTGTATTTGCAACGTCAGTTTTTCCAGTAATTTTTCCTTAAGTGACTTAAGGCTTATCTTCACTGCAGAACAGATTTCAGGATGAGAGATATGCTTGAATTAATGTAGATAAAGCCCCTGTCTTGAGTTGCTATCTTGAAGAGAGTCAACTACAGCAGCATATAGCAGCTGCAGAGCTACGCTGACAATCAGCATGCACAGCTCCATACTTCTCTTGCCATGTTCTCTCTGGCTGTGTTACTTCCAAGTGGAGTTCTCCCAAGGATAGGTCACGGCACAGCTAATTTGAGACTTGGCTTTACTTTCAAGTGGTTATGTTCTCTTTCAGATGTGCCCTTTAACAGCTGCTTTATCATTGACCTAACTTGGAAATTAATCAAGTACTAAATCCAGCATTGTGCCTGATGATGTTGTGGGAAACAGGCTTCAGGCTCCCTGGTGACTCCATAGGTCTAGCCTAGGTCACTGGATAGAGCTCAAGATGATCGGTTCCGCCCCCAGCAGTTCCTGCCGTGTTTTTCCTCCCATCCACAGGACTGTCTTTTCTTAAATTGAACTAAATTGCAATCTTTGTACTATAATCTTGTATTAATGGCTCTTTCACCTTTCTTATAGCAGAACTTCCTTTCTTACCTAGTGCCTAATAGGCCCTCTAGTTCAATATTTGACATGCTTACAGCTGATTTTTCTCCTGTTTCTGTCAGCTGGATGCATTTTGCTGTTGCTGTAAGCCTTGTAATTCTCCCTTGTTAATGCCTGCCTTTCCTGAGCCACATCTTCTCTAGATAAGGAATGTGGATGGTGATTTCTCCTCACCCCTAAGTCTCTTCCAACCCATTTTGATGAAAGTTACTGCCTATGATGCAATGAGAGAGGCCAAGTTTCCACATCAGTCAGAGGGAGGGGAAAGAGAGAAGAAATGCAGCAAGTAGACTTTTACCAAATTTTGGGAAATTAAATAAGAGCAATTGCAAGCTTTTCCCCTTGGCCACTGACTTCCCTTTTATTGGGACAACTTTTGAAGTTAATTAAAAAAAAAAAAAGGGAGAAACTCCACTCCCAAGATCTTCATATTTCATGGCTTTTAGTGATGACAGAAACTTAGTCTCAGCTCTCCGAAGTTCTGGGACGCTGTAACTCTTAGAACTTACAAGAAAAGCCTTTTGTAAATCTTAAACTCGTATCATAGTAGGGGGAAAAAAGTGGGAAGATCTTTGTGGAAAATCAGGCTTTCCAACCACTGTCTGCTAAAAGGTTGGATATTTACATTCTCCGTAGTTATCGGTAGAACAGGAGTAAGGTTTCTTGTAAGACTTTTGGCTCAAGAATCTGGAGACAGCAACAACAGAAGTTTTTTATTTTCTCTGATTGCTGAGATAGATGAATTGCAAATCCACAGGCTGAGGAGAAGCAAAATAAGATGTTGTATCCTTGTCAATGATTAAATCAGGTTTGATGTATCGAGGTAGTTTTACTGTGTTCTTTGATTCACCCTAGCTTGAATGTATCAATAAAAATGAAGTTAAGGTTATGTCTAAAAGTGTTTACCTTTTTTAGTGTCCAATTCTGATCTAGGCAAAAGTTCCAAATGGGGAATTTTCCTAAGCAGAATTAAAAAACTGTATTCAGGCAATGTTTTCTACATATTCAAATGACTGAATAAGTAGAAGCTAAGGCATTTTGTCTCCAAGGTATTTTATGTGGATTTTTCAAAAAGGGAAAAGCTTTACAAGAGCCAGGTTTATTAAATTGAATGTAAAAGTTAATGTTTTTCTTTCTCAGGTAGTGATATCGTCAGATGGCCATGAGCATGTGCTCGCTGTTTTTTGAGCGTCAAATACCATTTGTCTAAACTGAGGAGGATAATTTACTAATTGATTGACTGAAGTGGAATGGAAAGTGGAATTGAAAGCATTCACCCAAGATTTATTTTGGACAGACCTGAAAAGCCACAATATTAAAAAAAAAAAAAAATCTTTCTTTTCTTATTCTCTCCATCCCACCCTGTATGGCTCTTCTGATGTGAGGGCTTTGACTGTTTGGTTCAGAAATGAACAGCATCTTTTACAGTTATGTACAAGTTGTATCATCATTTCTTGGGCAATCTTTGCCTTCATGAAGGCACATGGAATGGGATCTAAACACACTCATTAGCTCCATTAAAATGCATGGGTAGAATGTTAGAAATCCTTCCATCCAGCTACTGGAAACATCACACCAGGTACAAAATTAGTTATCAGTATGCCTCAAATCCTAGGTAACTTTAACCTATTCTTGCTTTGCAGAACTACTTAGCATTCTCTCTTGCAGCAAGATCACTGTGTTGCATCAAAAGCTCACAGAATTTGAAAGTCAACAGGCCACTTAGAGCCATCAAAACTTACTGTAGATAGCTAAGTATTTCCCCATATTATTGTACGTCCTTAGAGTTAAGGAAATTTTTGTGATGTAAATATGATTTTAGGGGTTAGAGGTGCAATATCATATGTTTGCTTTGCTTTTGTTCTCCCCTAGCCATCCACTTCTGTTTCTCCCTGTATCCCTTATACTGATATGAATCACTATGACTGCTCTTATGTTGCATTTTTATGTGCTTGGCTTTGCAGAACAACCTGGGCAGCAATAACCCTCTGCTTGGGACAGTGTTTCATTTTTCTCTTTTGCAGGTGTCAGATATTCATATCAGTAGATTTCGGGATCCCAAACGATCTCCTGACTTCGAAAAATTCTGTTCTGAAACAATTGATATAATTCAGCCAGCACTTGTTCTAGCAACAGGTAAGCAATTCAAAAGTGTGAATTTCGTGTTGAATGTGCTGTCAAAGGAAGAACAAATAAGCAAAATTCTAGGATCTCAAGAGAGAACTTTAAAGCCTTAAGGTATCTTAAGCAATGGAATTGCAGCTGAAGATAGACTGCTAGAAGCAGATGAGAATAACTTCTCAACTCAAGAGAATTAGTTTTTATTCTGTCTTGATTCTGACGGTGAGTTTAGCGTGTTATACGTAACAAAGACATAATTATGCAATATAGCTATTGTTTTCCCAATATTTTTTGCTACACCTTAGTCCTTGCTAGCAGCTACCTTCCTTCTTGTCCTCCTGGTAGTGATTCTACATCATTCTTCATGTTTGGAATTACAGAAGTGAGCAGTGTCTCTGATTAGTCATTAAGAGCCAGTTCCTCTCTCAGAACAATCCCTGCTCGTTTGTATGAAATTCACCTGTGAACTAATGTATAGTATAATCGCATTTGTTGCTGTCTTGGAATCACAGCCTTGCTTCTCTTGTTCAAGTACATCGGAGGCTGGATTTCATTGCTGATTTCTATTTGTGCATATCATACCAAGACAGGTGAAACAAGCCTTGCCATTTCATTTGATAGCTTGCTATTGCTATTGAAATGGATGAAGTTTTGGCAAGCAAATCAAAAAGACTTTGAGCCATTACTATACTATGCAAGGCTTTAGAATCTTAATGCTAGACCTGGACTTTTGCTTCTACAGAGTTACTTATCTGCTGCTTGCTTTTTAAGTTAAGGGTTCAGAAATAGCATACATCTTTTAACTAGCAATGCAGGGAGGCATTACTATATGAACAGAAATGTGAATGGTTCGAACTTTAATTGGAGCTTGAGGGGATACAGAAGGTGTGAAGTTAAACAAAGCTTCTATGACTAGAATCTTTGTGTATAATGAATGCATAACAATTTTCTTTACTTTGGCATGGCATTAGTAAAAGTGCTGCAGTGACGTGGTTGATAGATGTTTGAACAGGCTGCCGCATCTGCATTAGAAGGCATTTGCCCTTATAGTAACCTCTTGGACCAGATGACAGGAACGTCCAGATTGCACACAGGAGGCCTGCAGCCACTTACACTAGGAGGCTTGGATTGCGTGCTTGCCTAGTTACAGTATTTGTGTAAGCTGTGTAGGCCTCTAGTTATATCTCACCTTTGTACTCTTTCAGGTGACCTGACAGATGCTAAGACGAGAGACAAACTGGGATCTGAGCAGGTAGAAGTAGAATGGAAAACTTACCAGTCAATCCTGAAGAGATCAAGGGTCATGGAAAAAACCAAGTGGATAGACATCAAGGGGAATCATGGTAAGAAGGAAATGAAACATCTCTTTCTTTCCTGTGATTACAGAGCTGATTTAGGCAAGTTAGAATATAGAGGTAAAGTGTTAGTACTTACTGGCATGTTAGTGGTGGTTATGAGTCAGTAGAAGGGCTTGCCATCCACGCCTGCTCTACTGAGGGCACACTTTGTTTACAGGCACTTACTGGAGTTTTAGTACCAGGGAAGTAAGAGTTTTCATTTATTGCTTTTGCCTGGCAAGTGGTAGAATATAGCTTCAGATGTTAGTTTCCAGGTCATTAGTTTATATACCCGATCTTTTAATGAAAGGGCAAACTGTAACCTTACCCTACTGAAGAAATGGTTTCAATTTACTTTTCATAGATTTTCCCCCCACAGGTTTAAGTTAAAAAGTATCATGTGTTCAGCAATTAAAGGAAATTTGGTTTCTTTTGAATAGAAAGAACTCATGGAAGTTTGTACCCATCGTAGCTGTTGCTACATTCTCAGCATTCAAACACAAGCTTTTGTACTCATCGTAGCTGTTGCTACATTCTCAGCATTCAAACACAAGCTTTTGTACTCATCGTAGCTGTTGCTACATTCTCAGCATTCAAACACAAGCTTTTGTACTCATCGTAGCTGTTGCTACATTCTCAGCATTCAAACACAAGCTTTTGTACTCATCGTAGCTGTTGCTACATTCTCAGCATTCAAACACAAGCTAACAACCTTGTAGGCTGTATAAGCCAGCCGTTACAGGAAGGGCAAAACTAGAAAGCCTAGCACTGGGAAAAAAAAGTGCATGCTTTGTCATATACAGCCCATATATGACATTTTACTCCGATTTCCCTATCAGGCTTCTGTTACCAGACTGAAGGGAGAGGTGGATCCTAATTGCAGTACAAGCCTCCCCGAGCTGCTGTCTGTTTTACACATGCTATTCTTTGATGCTATTGCTACTTTATTTTCCTTGGATGAGTTAGGTCTTACTTATCGAGAATGCACCCAATCCAAAAAGCTTCTGAAAAGCTTTATGGTCAAACTGGAGACACATGGTTAGCTTTTAGCCACTAAATGACAATTCACATTCCCACAACAACTTTATCTTTGAATTGAAACTTAAATGAGAAAACTATTCCCACTTTTAGGTCAGCTGCATCAAGTATATAATGTCTTCTCTGCACGGTTAGACAGTCTGCTTGTCAATTATATATTTTTAAAAAAGTAGCTCTTCAGTGCCTGCTGAGACAGCTTTATCTCAACATTAGGAAATAAAATACAGAGGTCAATGATCAATTTGATCTGAAAGTTTCTTCATTTCCTCTTTCCTCTCCCTTACAGATTCATTCAACATTCCACACCTGGATAGCATTCGGAATTATTACAGGTACTTTTATTTACCATACAGATGCCATTATAGTCAAGGTCAAATTCACTAAACAATATTCTGTTTTCAGTTATCACATATGTGCTTTTTCACTGACTTTCCTATAGTCCAGGATCATATTTGCTATTCCCTCTGTCTTTTCCATTGCCAGTTAGTAGAGCAGAATAGATTGAGAAAATAGAGAATTCTTTGCACAGACTTCTTATCTCTTATCCCTCTGTGTTTTATAATTGAATGTATTGTAAATCTGCCTGTGTCTAGGAAATGTTCTGTGCATTGTGTGTTCAGTTTCCTCAGAACAGTTGTGTGAGATATTTCTGTAAAACCAGTGTTCCTAAAGAATGCTTTTCCTCCTTAAAATAGATGAAAAAAGAAAGCAAAACAAAACATCACTCTTCTTTTATGTTCTTTCTGCATCCCCAAAAGAGCTTTTCATGTCATATGGGTCTAAATTTTATCTGAGCCATTTCTTCACATCCGAGTCATTTTAGAAAACTGAAAGTAGAGAAGCAAGAAGGCAGATGATGATGATGGGTGGACAAATGTTCTTGAGGAACACACTTGAGATTTAAATGTGAAGATAGGTGAGGAAACTTTCCCCTCTTCAGCTGGCTTTTTTGCTTGTACATTGTAAAGGTTGCCTCAGTTGTAACTCATGTTTAACTTCTCAGTTTCTCCTGCCTTTCACATCTGAACACAAAATCTTGTCTCATAATTTTGGTGGTGCTTTCAGCTTTGACTCTTTGGAACTGGAGGAGGACTTGGAAATCTAAATTCTACTTTAATTCAGGCTCTTAAGCCATCCACTTTGCAATAAGAACACAGATTAGACATCTGATAGTTTAGTTTGCTTCAGTTCCCTGTGGCCCAGCAGGAGCAGATAGGTTTTCCCATAAATTCTGTGGGATAGCATCCTGCAGCAGCTGCATTTGCAGGAGAACATGGAATTCACATGTGGGTTTACCATTAAGGGATGAATGTATGGTGCTAACAAGGCTTTTGGATGTGCTAGTGCAGTGCACATCCCTATATCTTTTGCCACAGTTGTGGCTACGTGACAATCTAGTATCAGTCTTCCACTCTAGTTTAAGGCTGCTATCAGAAGTCCTCGTGACACACATGGGAAGATGTAGAACCAGTGAATTTGCCAGATCATCCCTGACTTGTTGGTTGGCCTGGACAAGCTTACTGTTTGGAAAGATGGATGGATCACCTGCCTCTAGTCCTGAAGATGTACTGATAGCAAAAGGGATTGGAAAGGATTAGGGTGAAATTTCGAAGCAGTTTAGCCAACCTAAGCATTTTTGAGTGAAATTCTGAGTCAGGTGAAAAAGTCTTTGCTTATTAATTAACAGTCTCTTCCTAAACAAATGTGTTCTCATAATGGTTTTTGCTTCATTATAGTCTGTCATCATAGCAAAATAAACTTTAATGAGATTTATCATACTTCCTAAGACTGAAGAAAGGCACTAAGAGTCCTCAAAAGCCATTAAGCATCACTAAAGGCAGAACTATCTTTACAGGGACAATTTTATTTATCTGATGCATTAATAAAACATAAAGATTAAGAAAATTTTTAGTAAATGTGCCATGCTCTAGGAAGAGAGAAAGGAGATGGCGGAGTGAAATGGAGACTTGTGGAAGCCTTTCTTCTCCCCCACCGCTGTGAAGGTAAACAGTCAAAAGGACAATGGTGTTTTGTGTTTTGTTGGTTTTTTTTTTTCCTTCCCCTCCTGAGCAACAGTAAGGCACTGTCTGCTTGCCTTTAAGTGATCCTGAACAAATAATTCATTCTTTGCTGTACACCTTAGAGCGCTGTAGCTTGCACATATAAAAATAGAGGCTAGGGAAAACAGTTATTCAACACCACATTCTGGTGTTCATTTATGTATTAAAATTAAAGAAGGCAGCAGTTGTCTTGAAATACAATAATATATTTACACAAAAACATGGGTTCCTATTTTACATCCACAGCATGAGCAGAGGATGATTCAGCTGTTACACATACTCTTAAATGGGACTAAAGGCAGAAATCTCAGGATTATGATACTGAGCTTCCCGTTTTCTTATTGACGTTCATGATGTTCATAAAGATAACATTAACTTCAAAAAAAAAACCCATTGTAGAAAGGGTCTTACGGCATTGCAAGTATTGATTTATATCTGAAACTTGTTTTAACATATTGGCTTTTATTCTGTTCAGGTCAACCTTTCTGGCAATTTTATTGTTTATTCTGATTGGTGGAGGAATAGTGATATGAACTGCTTTCTGGATGGCTGTGTTCAAACTATACTCATCATCTGAACTCGGGGATGGTTTAGCTTCCACATATCATGCAGGGAGTTTTAAAAAACAAAACAAAAACACACACAAAAAACCAAACCCAAACCACACACACACAAAACAACAACCCCAAAGCCCAAAAGAAAACGAAAAAATCCCCCCCAATTAAACCAAATAAGTTTTAGTTAATCTCAGATTTACTCACAGCCATCTTAGTTACAGAATTTAATTCTTAATTGAGCAATTTAGTAGATACCATTAGTTGGAATGTTATCTGTCTTTGCCAGTGGAGGATATGTGCAATTCCCATCTAGCATAAAGTATCAAAAGCACTTCAATTTTAGAAGTAACAAAAACTGAAAATACCTGTTGTCAGTGGAAGGACAGAAAGCAACGTATATATTCATTATTACGTGTATTTATCATAGCCAATATTAGCATAAAACCACGGGGAAAAAAAAGGGGGAATTAGTTGACATGTCTCTTAAGTCCTTCCCTGTTTACAGTTCTCTCTTAGAGTATTTTAAGATTAAGATTCAACAGCTCGGTTAACACCAGGTAATGTGCAGAAGAGCAGCAACCCTTTTTGCTCTCTTCTTTTACTCTTTGAATGAAGAATTCTGAAAACTTTCCACAGGTGAGAGGAGAACTGGTAAGATTTGCTATGTCAAGAAACAAAAAAGAGTAATAAGCAACAGGAAATGCTGCCTTCTTTACTATTTATAAGATTTGGTGTAGTGTAGTCTCTCTGTTCTGGATCTTCTGGAAAATAGCTGAAAAGGTTCAATATTTCTTTGGTTCAAAATCATATTCCTTTAGCCAACAGTTGATCATTCTACATCAGAGTAACTTAAGAGATCTCTAACAAAATAGTGGAGACAAGACTTGATGTCCCTGATATTTCTAGGTAAGCAAGGAAAAATTCTTTTTGAAAAATTCTTTCAGATACCAACAATAAGCACAAGACAATAATTTTTTTTTTCCTTTGCAGATCTCCTTTAATTAAGAGTGGTGTAAGATCCTGCTGTCCTGTCATCTTGCCTATTTGTTTTGCATCATTTATGCTGCTGGCCTATCCTTTATCCATAAAAAAGTACCATGTTGCTCAGGGAAAGTGTATTTATACTAACATTTTTTTTTTTAAATGTTTGTGTGCTAACCTGCTGCTTGTCTTAACATGTGACCCATGTAATGCATCTTCTTTGAAGTACAGACTTTTCAATGCCATTGATTTTTAAGAAGAGACTTTACTGCAGTAACAAGATGGAGCTAGATCTAATGCAAGAAATCTTGCATTTATGCTATGCAGGTAATTTTTGTCATTGCTGCAAGCTTTTCTAACAGCAATATTTCCATTTTATTTTGGCAGGAAATACTCTGCTTGGCGTAAAGATGGCTCTTTCCATTACATCCACACCACTTCTTTTGGGAACTATTCATTCATCTGCGTGGATGCCACACTCAGCCCAGGCCCTAAGAGACCCTATAATTTCTTCGGGATTTTAAACATGGTATTTTATAAGTCTTGGCATTCCATTTTGCTGGCTGTTTTACTTCTGTAGTGGTTTGTCTGGGGTGTGTGCTTGTTTCTTTTTATAAAGAAGAATTGTCTGAAAGATTTGTGTTCATCTAAAAGATTCTTTACATTTTTAAGTTATTATGCACGTGGGACACTTGTTTAGAAAAATGAATGTGTCACTTAACATATGGAGTATGTGTGTTTTCTCTCTTAAGAAATAATCCAGTACAAAAATGTCAAATCAGACATTTTAAGGACACTGTCAGTAGTTTCTTAGTATTTGGCTAGACTTGAGTGATAATTTCCTTATATGCTGTAAAGTTTAAAAAAAAAAAAAAAACTTTCTAATTTCACTCCTTAATGCTTTGTTCGATGCTTTTTTTCATTAATATTACAGATGAGAGAGCTGCACTTACCAATGGAATAATGTGAAAGATAATGCTACAAAGAAATGTGTCATTTATGAAAGTGAGGTCTGATCTTCTGAGACCATAAAAATTACATGGTATTGTTTTGAAAGAATAACATATCAGCTTAGATAACATTTTGCTTCCCTTTGATTTTTCTCTGTAGTTTGTTGATATGCTATTGTTCTTGAGATACTCTTCTGAAGTGTTGGCAGAGAGTTACTGTGTTCTGGTAAACAGATGCCATGTTTTGCCTGTGATAATGGCCTCAATGAAAAGTAAAATGTTCTCCCTCTAATCTTGTCTAAAGGAGGCTTAATTAACACTTAAGTGTTTGTAAAGCCCTTGGTGATACTTAGATGAAAGGTGATGTAGGAGTGCCAAGTACTGTTCTTATTGTTTACTGTAATCCATAGTGGGTGCAGTAGATCTGCACACAAACTCTCAAGGAGCTAAGAAATGCAGTTGAGTCTAGAGCTCCTGTCCTTGGCTGCGGTAAGTCAAGCATTTTGCTTGCTAATTACCCAGCAGCAGGAGTCCAGAGAGGGTCATTTGCAGATTTTTGCCAAAACTGAAAGTAAAGGTAGATACCTGTAACTTTTAAGAATTAAACCTCTGCCAGGAATTTGAAAAATAAATTAGATTTGTATCAGTGATCTGATTGCATAGCTTAGGTAAAAATATTCGTAAAGCCCAAATTCATAAAGGCAAAGGAAATACAATTTCACTTAATAAGCCTGTTACATTAACCCAGAATGGTATACTGAATCCATTCTTTTTTTAATATACCTTCTTTTCTGTTTCCTTTATTCATGCCCTTCAGCGTTTCTTTTCAGGTAGGAGGGAAAAGAATATGTTGGTGGTTCTCTGGGTTACCCTAAAAAAGATGCTGCAAAATGGTGAAAGAGTGGATTTGTGTTCTTTTCTGGTTTTAGTTTTCCTGCCTCCTTTGTTAGACTTGGAGATCTTACTGGTATTGGGGATCTCTCTAGACAGTAAGTGGTTGATTTAATGTGGGAAGTCAAACAAGTAAGGGAGAGATATTTTACCTGCTGTGCAAAGTGTTACTTTTGCTTAACTTTAGCAATGGCTGAGTAGTATTTTCAAGATTCAGCATCATAGTTTATCCAGTTAAATGACTGAAGCATATGGTGCACAGTTTCTGTGGTCTGTCATGCCTATAAAAGGCCATCTAGCAACTCAAGAGATAGTAGGGATGATAATTGTAAGGTAAAGATGCTTGTAAAATCAACTCAAGTGTGTCATCTTTGACTATATAAATAAGCAATAGAAAGGATAGAAGTATTGTTTACTAAAATCCTTCGTTATATTTCACTTTTCCTGTTTTGGGTTGCAAGGAAGATGTTGAATGTCTTTGGTTTCACTTTCTTTTCCAACATAGGATTTTAGGGATCCATCTAGAAGTATGGTTTGTTCATGCACAGTTCCCTGAAGCAACTGAGCATATTCTCTGTGTGTTTAAAAAAAAAAAAAAAAAGTATTAATTGCATTCTTCATTAGTTTCTTTCTGCTTTCCTTTTGCTATTCTTTCCAAATAGCCTGAATGTTAAACAGGTTTGTTTGGTTGTCTTTCAAACACCTGCCCGTTTCAGAGTCAAATGAAAGAGCTATCTTTGATGGCAACAGAAAGTCTACACAGCAATCATACTATCTGGTTTGGCCATTTTCCCACCTCAACAATCATCTCCCCGACCCCAGGAATACGAACATTAATGAGGTAAGATCTTTCTTTTTTCCTGTGTGTTTTCAGTCTGAAGTACATTTCTTGCCTCTCTTCACATACTTGTCTGTCACTTTTCAGGTTTTCTGCCATCGTATTTCCTTCCCACCCAAATAATCACAATTCTTATGTTCTTTTCTTAGTTCTGCCACAGCCTATTTATGTGGACATCTCCATACAATGGGTGGGCTGATGCCAGTCTTGCACAGTCAACACCATGGCGGCACTCTGGAACTCGAATTGGGAGACTGGATGGATAATAGGAGGTAAGTAAACCCTATGTGAGCAAATTATTATATGGAGCCTACCTGGTTATACTGTGATTCCCTTTTATGCTGTTTGGAGAATTTGAAAGAAGCATTAGATCTGCCTGTCTGGTTATTACTATTAATGCTTTTGAAAAATGTCTCTGTCTGTTTGGGATGGTTTTCCCTATACCAACAGTGTGCTAATAAATTAAGTAATTTTTTGATTTAGGAACTTGGGAAGCATGGGAATCAGCTGTGCATGCAGTAGTTTGTATCAACAAAATTTTTTTCCTTTCATTATAGGTACCGGATCCTTGTGTTTGATCATGACCTCCTTAGTTTCGCAGATCTTAACTTTGAAGAATGGCCTGTAGTTCTCATCACCAATCCCAAATCCTTCCTTTACAGCAGTTCTGCTCATGAACCACTAGTCAAAATTATTTATTCCACTCATATCAGGTACCCTGTTATCTCTTGATTTCACAATATTTAACTATATTTTAACCAAGAAAGACCCCAACTATTATAATGTACATCTATATGTATATACACAAACTTTTTTTAAATGCGTGTGTCCACTGTTCTCAGAATTCACTTTTCTCTGGAAGATTGTTCCTGAGAGCTCACTTTGTATCATATCCGTGATAAAAGGGGATTATATAGTAGTAATTCATGTTTGTTTTATTTATGCAGTTATTTCCCCTAAAGTCAGTTGAACTTTTCTATGTAACCAAAGCTGGTAGAGTTAGATTAACACGATCTGAGTGTTTTCTCTATTTGCTTCGGAATTTTTAGCCTCTTGTGTTTTCAGTTTTACATCCCTTATATATTAAAACATATTAAGGCTCTGCCAATTTTCATATTTGCTTTAAATCTCTCCATCTTTCCATTTCTCCCTTTTCTATTTTTTTCATTTATATTTCAAATTTCTGTGCCCTTTGCGAGATCTTATATTTGCTGTTTGACCAATATGCATGAAATATATGGGTATCTTGCATACACAGAATTACAATCAAAATAAGTTCATCATACTTTTCAGTTAGGAAGCAGTGTCCTACTAAGTCTACCTACTTTGCAGTTTCCTATTTAGAACCTTATCTGAACATTCTTATGATTATATTAAATATATGAACTGTTAGAATCATTCACCATAACTATGTGAGACTCCTTCATTTGACTGAAACATGCTCTGGAATGCCTTTCGTATTACCAGAAATGAAAGAAATTGTATGTGCAATATATTGAGTCTATATTAGTATCACTGTTGCTCTGAATATTAGCACTGCCAAGTGATACTACATTTGTTGGTATCTCAGATCTGTAATATCAGTCTTGCGTTCTACTCCATTTCTCATAAATTCAGTTACAAAGACTGAGAGGTTATATTCTGACCAGAAAAACAAACAAACAAACCCAAAAAAACCCAAACAAAAAAAAAAAGCAAGCCCCAAAAAACCCCAAACCACCACCAAACCCAAAAAATAACCCACACCCAACAGCAAAGGACTTCAGAGAGAGAGACTGGCAATTTTTAATGAAAAGTATACAAGTACTTGATTATGTGTCTGTATGTGTGCAGGAGGATGCATCCCACTTGTGTTAGCAAATGTTTTGACAGCAAGAGTTCTAAGATCATTTCTGCCAGGACCTGAGGATCTCTGCCACTTTTTCATCTGTTCCACAGCCTGGTTTTCTATCCTATTCTTTTGCACAATACTATACAGAACTTCTCTTTTTAACTGTAGGAAAGAGCTACCATGTTACCGTTAGCCTAGAGATATTTCACCGTTTTAATTTCTAACTCTTTTGATCTCTTAAGTACAAGGTAGCATAATCTTTAGGGACTTCTCTTCAGGAAGTGATGACAAATCTGCAAGTCCTGTAACAAATCTGTTTATTTTGCTGTTTATTCACTCCTTAGAATTCTGGCCTTCTCTCCTTCTGTCATTATCTCTGTCAAAGTCTATATAGACGGAGTTCACTTGGGGAAGGCGCATCAGGTGTCTGGCCCTCTCTATGTACTGCAGTGGAGCCCGCAAAACTACAGTGAAGGGTTCCATCACATAGATGTGACTGTGCAGGTAAGGTACCTGTTGGCATTCTTTCTATTGAATTTTTACATTATCACGTCTGCTCCATCACCCTTCTGTGTCACATAACTAGGGACAAAATACATAACAGACTTCCTTTCATATTTGTCTGATTACAAAAATGAAAAAACACTGACTGCTGAGCACTAAAACATTCATGAAGCATTTGGACAAAAAAATAAGGTTCTTATTTTTCATGAGAAATATAATAAGACATGATGAAGAGCAAGTAATTGGTCAAAAATAAATTATTTTGAGTAACAGGCAACAATTAACTTTTAAGGTTGTCTTTGGAAAAAAAAAATAATCGGGCTTGATCAAGGAAAATAGAAAGTAGCATCATGTTAGTTCAGAAGGCAAAGGAACTGGGTCTGGAAGATTGGAATGCTGTCTTTGATTATCTGTTTGAAGTTCTTTTCATGATCTCTTACAGGCTGACAGCGAATATGGTTTCTGTTTCCCAGAACATCAGACTTAACTGATACTAGATTACTGGGTGAAAAAAAAAAAAAAAACCAACATTTTTCAGTGAATGCTTCTGTTCTTGCTACTATAATTTATTTTTGTACCTTCAAGTGGCCTTCAAAGAACTTGATCGGACTGTTCTAACATTCTGCACATTTGCACAATAGTAATGGGAAAGTCAGCTTTGTCCTGCTTGGTGGAATCCAGCTAGGCATTGTTTCTCACAGGACAAGAGCGATACTGCTTTTTTTTTTTTTTTTTTCCCTGATGGCGTTTCTGTACTGCCAGTGTTCCGCCTCCTCGCTTGTTACCAATTTCTGTGATGCTTTACTTGGGAAAGCTGCATTTTATAAGTGGTTTGGTTTTTGTTTGGTGTTTTTTTTTGTTTTTTTTTAATGATGATGAAAACATGCACAAAACTGAGTAACATTTGAAGAGGGTTATACAGGCCTGCACAGCAACAGTTTGCTTACAAATACATGCTTGTTATCAGATAACTGAGTGGGATTTTTAAAAAACTTAATTTCCTTTCCCTTCCAGTCATAAATCACTATTACATCTAGTAACTGAATAGTTTTGGGAAAGTGAGGAGGATGAAGCGTTAACTTGAGTTAGGTACCAGGAGAAAATAGGAATACTCAATTGCTGTACATTGTTTCTGGGATTGTCCAAATGTTTTTCTCAGCTGTAATCACACTAAACATACTGAATCCTTTACTATAAATAAACCATTTATTATGTACTGGAAGATAAGTTGTCAGTGTTACACATGCAGAAATACCAAACTGTTGAATAAATGTAGCGCTGTTACTGTTTATCAATATCAGTTTCTAGCAAATATGCCAGAAAAGAAGTACAACAAAGCTTCAAAATATTTTAAGATGGGCTATTATCTAGAACTGAGCTTTCAGAAAACAAGTGGTGGTGGTGGCCAATAAATAGTCACTGTCTTCCACAAGTTGCTGAATCTCTGACAGGATCTCCTTCATATGTAGCACTTTCAGATTATGATCTTACGATCACCAGTTTATTTGAAACTACAAAACTGACAGTAGGTAATCCTTTGTAGGGAGAAGTGTTTAATACAGCAGTATGCCAGACATGTATGCGTCAATTGCATCTTTCCAGAAAAGCTGCAATGATAATTAGCAACTTTAACTAGATATTCTGTGTACTACTGGTATCTAATTGCTCTCTTATTTTATATCAAACTAGGATGCTTCAGGAAGAATTAGCACTCAGGGTCATATATTTGCTATGGAAGAAAACCTCTCTCTTAGATTTGGCTTTTGGCCATCTGTTATTCTTCTCACTGACCACTATGTTCTAGTAAGTACTTTCAGCAAAACAGCTGTTTTCTGGTTTCCCCAGAGACTGCAGGAGGCATTTTCCTAATTCCTGGTAGACTTGAATGCACTTTGCTTTTTCCAGATACGACTCCATTGGAATGTCACAAATATTTCAAGTTTCCTTTCTCAAGTTGTGCACTTCAAACGTGAATGTGCAGCAATGGTTCATGCAAACAGTTGACTTCCTGGATTTAGTCACAATTGTCCATTTTTGGGTATAGGTATACACACATTTTCTGCAAGCAAGAAATGGAAAAGAAGCTACTGGAGGTAGCAGAAAAAGGAAACATTAAACCAAAGAAAACTTCACTGTAATCTGTTGCAATATGTGTACTGGCAAGAACGCTGGAAGAAGTCTCACATCAGCTACTGACATTATAGCTAGCTCTAGCAAAGAGGAAGGCAAAATTTCCATTGACTTCAGTAAGTTCCAGGTCATATCCAGAAGTGTTACAGCTCAGTACATGCAAAGAAGGCATGTCCTAATAGTTTAGGTGCACTTACAGAACATAAGAAAGTCCACATTACTGCAGATAGCATCATAATTCGCTCAAAATTATTATATTAGTTTTGTTAATCAGTAACCAATATTCTCCACAATGTCTTGAACTGCAGTTCTATTTAGTACAGCACTCAGAAAATGTTTTACATAGGAAGCGTTTACACTTTTTCAATGGATGTGTTTTACAAACCCCGTTTTTGAAAGATTCAGGTCTATCACTTTCAGCCATCCAACTGAATTTAAGTTACTGGACTTGCACCTTACTGACTTGAACTCCTAAGTTCCTTTTTACTCTTCGGTTCAATGACACCATCAAGCTTTGAATGTGCGTTTCAGTTAGAAATCTTGGTATCGTTCTATCAATGTCCATAAGGCATGCTCAAAGGCAGCTACTACTCCAGGGCTGGCTTAGAGTTAAAACTGTCTTTTCAGGCTCGTGTGCTCTTTGGGCTGATTGTGCTGATTCAGATCGCCTTGCTCGTTATTTTCAGATACCTCCAAAAGCCAGCACTCAAAGGTATGAACCAATATTTGTCTGTGGTTTTTAGAGGATCTAATTTTCCCTAAACTTTTTTTACTATTTATCTGTATGCTAACTATATAAGTAATTGCGCTGTTAATCTCCATATGCATTTTGCATCTGGTACTGTGGGGTTTGATTGGGTTCTCAGAAGCTGCTGTTTTGCTTTTAAGGGGACCCAGAAAACCTGCAATATATCAAATAAAGTAAATTAAAAACAAAACTGGATCAGGTATCTTTTGTTTAAACAGAAATTCAATTGAGTCTAAAGGTTTCATTTTAATTTTCTCACTGAAGAATCCAATGCATAGGGAAAGAAGTGTTTTATTTTGTATTAGTTCTCTGTGCTTGTTTCACTACAGCTGGCACAGAATTCTCTGTCACCTGAGTGATTTCCTCCTACAAAAATAATTTTTGTTAGGCTTGGATCTTTCTCAAAATAATGTTAAGACCAGTTCTGTCGTAACTTATATCTTGTTTGCGATAGATCGGGTAAATGAAAACTAATACTGTTAAGCTCGTGGTGTTTATCCTTTAAACAATTGTTTGAACCACACCTTACTAATGAGATTTTTCTGGAAGCCACCTCCCTTCCTATTCATGTCAGTGTATGTCCCTTCCTTTATACTCATAATCACATAGCGTCCCAAGGTAACTACTGCAACTGCTTACATAGAAAAAGAACAGATTTTTCAGTTGCCTTTATGGAACTCAGCAGCTAAAAATGAAAAGAGCTAGCACTCTGTGATCAGCTAGGTCCCTGTAGACCATGACAAATGTTTTACAAATTAGTGAACAAATTTGTTAGAGCTGTTGATTTCCAAAGGTCAAGCTTGCCCTCTGGGAGTTAATGCTTTGTGAGAAGGGCAGCCATGTAATAGGTGAAACTCTAAAAGCTAGCTTTTATAGGAAGGCGCTCTCAATCTCAATCTATGAATTCTCTGCTTCAGTTAGAAAATTAATACTGCGGTTTTTTGCTAACATCACACACTTGTCAGAATGCTGCCATTTTAATGCCTAGCCTTCATTTTATCTGAGTTGCTATCAGATCTCACTAAGCAAATTTAATCAAAGAAAATCCAGTTAATCTAGTCCATGCTGACCTGCCTTTTTGGGTTTGCACAGTTACTGTTTTGAAGCTCTTGCTTTTCATTTTAATATGAACTTTCTCCATGTTTTTCATTCTAGCTAACTTCATTTTCTGGGTATAGAATGGTCATTCAATTTTATTTACATACAGTAGTGCACTCATTTAGAGTGGCAGCTTCTTTTGTTGTTTTTAACATATTTTGCTGTATTTATCGGTTCCTTACTTTCAGTTATCACAGTAATAGTAGAAATGCATTCCCTTGCGTTTGTTCTGTAGACATACCCAATATTATTTTTATATTTCTTATTTAATAGAATGAGTAAATAATGTGCAGATTTGTTTCAGAAAGACCAATATTTTTAATATATGTGTGTGTGTGTGTGTGTTGCAACCTGAATCAAGTGTATTTATCTTAAATGTTGTCTCTGTTTAGAAAAGCCAGGATTGCTTACTCTGACCTCGTATTCCCTTCATGTCTTCAGTAAAACAAACACCTTCTATTACTCAATTATGGTTCTGAATTTATACACCATTCTGGGTAAGTAACCTAGAGTACTGGGGGACATAAATTAGTATTTTTAAATTACACATCAGATCCTGATGAAAAATGAGACTTCTAACATCTTGTAGATTTTCCCCATTCTCCTAAAGTTATAAAATCTATGTGGAACTTGAAAAGTTAATGTCCAAAGAGACTAAAGGTTTGTTTCTAAGAGCCTAACTTAGAAGCCCTAGAATTAAACACTTAAATTATTAAATTACTCTGAAAGCAAAGTGAGTATTTTTAAATTTAATTTGGTTTTCACTTATTCTTTGAGTAAGATCTGGTTGTACCTTGGTGTAAAATGAGTATATGGAATGTACATTTCACATGACATGTCACGAAGACATCTCGGCTCTGATGCTAACAATTTTAGCTTATTTCTCCTCTGATAATATGTTACTAAAATAGCTACTTTCTTGGCAGTCAGTGTAGTAAGCATAACATAGTGCAGCCTGCCCATTTTGACTTCTAAGCTGAGCCAAGCTGGAATTGTTTATGACCATATCTTTCATTTGTCTTACTGTGATTCTGGGAAGAGGCCAGCATTTGAAAGGATCTATCTCTTCACTTCTCTCATAAGCAGAATGTTATATGCGGTGCTGAAAATTGTCACAGAGATGAAACCAACTTAAAAATATTTTCATTGCATGCCACAACTCATTGATGTACGATGATCTTTTCACATCAGGAACGTTCATCAGATTGCTGTTTGTTGAAGATTAAAACGTTAGGCTTATTACTATAGACAAGCAATAGAGAAGTAATTTTCCCCAGTTAAGCACTTCATGCTCAGGAATACAAAGGGCCATGTGAAAAAGGGCCATGTCTATATTGTATTTTCTGATGGTGCTGTATGTTTGGTTTCCTCTCTTTCAGGACCATGGTTTGTAGGTGAACTGATAGATGGCCAGGTGGGGGCCTGTTTTTCCTTTGGGGTGTTCGTTGGTGGTTCCTTCTTGCAGGGCAGTCTGACATTTGTGGTTGGGATTTTACAGGTACATATTTATAAAAATTAAGGGTGACAAACTGCTTTCTTCTGGGAATTTTTTCTGGGTTTTTTTTAATAGTTTTATAAAGAAAGGAGTCTTGGAAGGATAGAGAAGATTAGTGGCCATGCCTGACTACAACAGCTCTTTCTTACCTTTCTGCAAACTTAAAGGGCAGAAAGGAAGGAGGTTGTGCATTACTTTCTCAAACTTCTCTTTTCCTCTATTTGATGCTGCTTTGGACTCCCTGGATGTCTGGATTAGAGGCCATCTCTACAGATTTACCACTCTAAATTTTTCTTTTGGTCCTCGGCTCACACACAGGTTGCAGTGATTAAGCAAAAGGAACTGAATGGCCAGGGCAGCCCTTGCACACCGAATAACTCTTCAGATCAGTAGGTGTCACTCTCTAAGTACGCAAGTCCAGTTTTCCCAGCAGTCTGACCTGCCTGCCCTCTGGTTTTCCCAGCTGCCATTAATCTGAAAGAGAGGGTGTAGTTCCTTGGCATTTAAGCCAGGCCAAGCTAGTGTTGCCTCCTTCTTGGTCCCTCCCTTATGCCAGTGCTAACACTTGTCTGACACCACAGTGGGCTGGGTCAGAGAGCTAAACTGACATAAGGATCTTCCTTTTTTACTCTGCTAGTATTTTGCCAAGTCTAGCTCCCTGAACCGGCTCCAAGGAAGGTCAGATGCATGTCAGTGCCTCCCACTGCAAGGGAGTGGGCAGGAATGCTTAGCCTGGGACTGAGGCACAGGCAGCCACAGCTCTATCAGCTGCAGAGTCTTAGAAGTGCATCCTGAGATTCCAGCTCTGGGAATTGGACTCAGCCCTTAGAATGGGACAGTTTTGGGACAGAGCACATCTCTTATCTTTCTTTGCCCTCATGTATGTTACCCAGAACACGTGGCTTACTCATCGTCTTATTTTGCTCTGCTCTTCTTTTCAGATGTTGTTTTTCAACCTGCCATTAATGGCCTATCTGTGCTGGTGCCTGTTGCTGCGATGCCAGGGTCACAGCTTCCGTTCTCACATCCGTCATGTCCAACACCTCATGGCTGTGCTTGTTCACCTGGCAATGGCACTCCTCCTGGCCTGGCAGGTCTATTCCTGCTATTTCCTGCTGCGAACCTATGGGACCTTGGCTTTCTTCCTCTCCCCAATGAGAACGTGGCTGGTGGCGCTGACCTCAGCTCTGATTTACAAAACCTGGACACTGAAATCATCTGAGCTCAGAACTTACATAGTAGAAATGAAAAACTGTCAGAGCTCCTGAAGTACAATACAAGTATTCAAAGTTCTTTGACTTAAAAACTGTCAAGGCACAACCTATAGTTTTGTGATGCTGGAATGCCATACAGCCCAACCATTAGGTGGTAAGATCTGAAGCTGCACCTGCATTGCTACAGAGCTGTATTAAATAGTAAATGTATAACAAAATGTATTATATACTTTCATTGTATTATACATATAGAATATACTGTATAATACATGTTATAATACAGTTATACATTAATACAGTAAACTGTATAATAATCTCTATAATAGGGCTTTTTGTGATACAGAAGATAGATATGTCTGTTTAGATCACAAATGGAAATGTTTGCTCATTACTACTGTGAATGGAAAAATGTTTTTAATTCATTAAATTCTTGATTTTTATAATGCTGGGAAAAATGAGCATAGATCTTGATAATGAGCTCCAGGATTTGTGCTTAACTCTGCTTTTTATTTCAAGATTTACATATATTTTTACACGACTAACTACAGGAGTAGACCAGACGTCTTTATGAAGTGATGGTTGTTGCAAAGGTGCTGTGGTGGCCTTCACAGTAAGAGTCCTATGCTTATACACTTTTTCAGTTCACAATGCTGTATACGAGCAGTTTATAGGCTGTTAGGTGTGTATATGTGTGTTTGTGTTTATGTTTACCTGAGCCATGGCCTATTGGTCTTGTCCTGGGAGTGCTGGCTAATTAGCATGCTCTCTCTCTGGGAGGAAGTAGTTATGTTTTTCACTCTTGAGGTTTTCAATTTTCCCACACTTGACCAGTGAAAGGAGAGTGAATGATCAGTGTTGCTGGGATTCCCAGCTGTAGTCAAGAGTTCAGCTTCAAAGCAAAGAATGGAGGCAATATCCTCAAGATGGGAGAGCCAGAAGGAATCGCGTGGTCCGATGCCTATAATGTCTGCAAGCGAGGGGATCAGGGCTGTATTTCTGGGTCAAATGTGCCAAAGAGTGACCTAGGAAAACTCACTTCTTTGTCTTCAGTTTTTCTAAGTCTAAAAATGATAGAACAGTTACATTTATGAAGAATGTAATGATCCAGAGCCAAGAGAGCTGAGGTGCCTTTATCTGTAAAGGACAACACTGACCTGCTTCACAAGACTGCTGTGAGTGGAACATTTAAAATACTTTAGGTAATTTTACAGTAACTTATTTATGGCTCCTCAAGAAAAAGGAGGGGTAACTTATTTATGGCACCTTAGAAAAAAACAGCAGTGACTGTAGTAGAACATACAGGAAAATAAACTGAATTGGAAGAAAATATTGATTACAATTAAGACTTTTGTTATGTCTGAAAGATGACAGTTTTCCTATTCCTTAATTCCTGTTACTCAATGATTGATGATATAATACAAAAAAGAAAGTAACAGCTTTCGTTTGCATAAGTTAAATACACTGTTAAGAGAATACAGAATGTCATTTCTTGCTACGTTTGTTTTGTAAAGCTGTTAAAAAATCAAAGAGGCAGGGCCCAAAATTTACTTGTGAGAAACACTACTGAAAAATTAATTAAAAAAAAAAAACTGACATTTTGCAATTAAATTACTTTTATGTGATCAGGGAGCATAAGAAGTGGCAATGAAATACTTAATATTTATACCCTGTGACAAGACCCTGTTCTGAAATGATACTTTTTTTGTTGTGATTGTTGATATTAAATGGTGGTTGTAATCAAATGTCTATGGACTTAAAAAATCTTACAGTCTGTCAAATATTTACTTTGTTGCTCCATGGGATGTGTTTGGTAGGTGGATGAAATTCTGTTAAGAATCTCTCAATGCTATTAGTGGGGCGAGCAAAGATGTTTTATTTGTAGATGTGCTATCCCTGGCTCTAAGGACTCAAATGAGAATGACTGCTCTGAAACGTGTTTGATGTGTGAATTATATACGTATGTGGGAATGATGTAATAAACTTTGAGAGAAAGGGACTATCCTACTGCCCTGGTAGCACAGCGAAGAGCACACTGTAGAAACTTAGAACTCTACCCTGCATAGGAAGCACCTCTTAGCTGTGTCTGTAGACCATGAACTATCGCAGCTTTTTGTTGCCTAACAGACAAGTAAAACTTAACTTACCTTGTCTCACGTTAATTCAGATTTTGTCCTTAAACAGTTTTCCAATATTCTAAAACCTTAGCAGGAAAATACCAACTTTCCTACTTGAGCTGTACACTTTAACACAGGAAGACTTTATTTGCCAATACCTCCTTAAAAGTTTTGTAATTCTTTGTATCTCATCAGGCTGAAAGTTCTTAGAAGCACAGACTGGGAGCTAGCCTCTAATTTAGCTGTCCTTACCATATAGGCAAGTGGTTGCCCAAGTTAACTGAGTAACAAAAATCACAATACAGTATGTTTTCCCTTAAAATTCAAACAAAATAAATTGGTTTCATAAAATACAGCCCATCTCCTAGAACACATCACGAGTCGCTTAAATGAACCAGTGATAACTGGACAAACCTCTGACAACCAGGCAGATATTATGATAAATCTGCAAGCCACCCTATGAAGAAAACCGCATTTGCTCCTCTGTTGGCCTGTGGTGCCCAGAAGGCACAAATCAACATAGTGGACTGAAGCGAGACATTCCAGTGATAACGGCCCCTCTGTTGTCCCGATGAATTGCCTGGGTTTGGTCCCCTTTCGAAATTAAGCTCTTCTCATTGAAAGGCAGCATTTCTACTGAGCAGATAACACAATACTGTGCTGTAACGTACTTTAGCATTTACATCAATCGGCATCAGTGTAAGATCTCTCACAGTGTTATGTGGTTTATGATGTGTTTTTCCAGTTTATGGATTAAAAAATTTTATTAATTTTTTTATTTGAACAGAAGCAAATGGCTTTGGCATTCATTACTTCTGGCATATAGTTCTCTTTCTTTTAAACTAGTACTGCATGGCTGTTGCAGGGTAAGTATGAGAGTACAGAGGTCTTCTGAAGCCAAGAGTATCCTTTCCAAGCTGTTCATTAGGAGAAGAAATTGGAGCTACATGAAGTGAGCAAAGCAAGTGGCAGATCGTGGAACCAGGCTGCTGAAGTACTTTACATACTGCTGGCGGACATTAGTGTGATCTGTGACAAATCAATCTTTCATAGTATAAATGCTGCTATTACAATACTCTGCAGGGTTTGTTGGTTTGGTTTGGGTTTTTTTATCTGCATGGAGGAGCTCCTTTAAAATACTTAATTCCCATTTGAAATGACTCTAAAAGGACACTTGAAATGATTATTTGGAAAGAAAAATAATTCTGAGAATGGCTTTCAAATACATTTTGTTCTCTGTTTTTTTTGAAGTCCCTTTAGAAAAAGCACATGTAAGTTTTTCATGCTGCTGCTTGCTTATGAAGGAATTCTTGTGTTCATTGGTGAATTACATCCAAGATGCTTGTGAAATGCGTAACATAAACTAGGAAAAAGAGAAAAGATTCTTTTACGTGCGTTAGCCTCGGTGCTGTGAGGGCTGAGCAAAACTTGCAGAGGGCAGTTCCCAGGGGAATGCCATTGCCATGCATAATTTCCTATAACTGTCATCAGTGAAGGCCTGTCCAACCCAGTGATCCCAATAAAGAGATCTTGGCATTCAGTGTAGTGGAAAATGCAAGGAAAGGGGGGAGAGAGGCTTTCTCCATGTGCTTTTCCCACTATGTCTATAGCATACTAAAAAAATAAAAATAATTAAAAAAACCCAACCCAAAACAGTTCCAAAAGTTCAAAGAGAAAGAACCCTTTCTGGAGCTGGCCTAGGCAGAGGTGAGAGACAGCCGCCCGCAGGGCACTGAAGGCTCACCACTCGGGTTGCCTGGCCCGAGGACACAGAACAGGCTGTTCCAGTTTGAAATGCTCATTGCTGCCCATGCAGCTTTCTAATGGGATTGTTACTGCCCAAAGAGAGATGTAGGTATTTCTCTGGGGGAGTGGGACATAAAGGCAGCTCCATCCCAGCAGGAAAAGCACCAGTAGACAGTGTCCTGCCCTCCCCGGGTCGCCCCCAGAACCAGGAGAATCGACCGTGCTGGCTCCTGTCTGAACTTCACCCCATCAGAGCCTGGTCCTCGGCCCTTTACTTTCCCTTCCCACATTCCCCAGCCTGGGAGGCAAAGAAAAGCAAGTAGGGGCTGATGGGGTGAGGAAGGCTCCTTCTTGCAGAGGGGTAGGGACTGAGGGAAGGTCTCAGAGATATGGAGAAGCCAGTCCAAGAAGAGGGTGGAGCAGAGGAGGACAGACCCATAGCCTCATAAAACCTTACCGCCTTCTCTCACTGTTTGCCCTCAGACAGTCTCCTATAAAAATAAATTGCACCTCCCTATTCTTGCATAAACACTGCTTTGCTATTTCATACTTTCAGTTTTCTCTCAATACTACTGATGCGTTCAGCCACCCTCTTACCACCACTCGACCCAGAGTAGCGCGCTGTAGCAAAACTGAATTTTGGTATCCAAGGTATCTTTCTGGTTGCAAAATTCTGTGTTCCTGTGGCTAAAAAGTCTTGACTCATTTCTGCTTCTTTCTGTCCTTTTCCTGAAGAGCTCCCAGTTGTGTCTCACAAAATATTTTCTCAGTTTGGAGCTTATTCCAGCTGCCATTACCCCTTCTTCTTGCAGGATATGCCATCTGCCTGTGATCTTCTTTTATCCCCTGACAGTCTATTTATGGACTGTATAAACATTTCCCACTGTGAAAAGAACCCAGTAAAGAGAAAGGCAGCATAGCGATACAGGAGAGCAATGTTACAAACCACAGGACTAAGTAATCCTGCATCTGCTGCTTCCACAATCAATGCATTAAAATATAGAATAAAGAGATGAAGCTATTTGAAAGGCATCTGCCTCCGCTCTCTCCACTTTTGTAACAACAGCTACTATAAACTGCAGTAAGACACATTTATGTCTGGGCTGGCAAGCTCTTTTCATGGTATTGCTGACATTTTCCATGAAATCCTGACACTAAACTACACGGCCTAGCACTAAACCACTAATAGATGCTCCTATGAAAAAGAAAGAGCATGCTTTTCTGATTGTCAAGGAAGAACCAAACAAAAAGGAGGATAAGAAACATGATGAACTAAAAAAAAATTAAGGAAAAGGGGGGAAAAATGGAGGGTAAGAAAGCAGAAGGGAAGAAAATGAAATATAGGACAGTCAACAGCAACTGTTCAAGGTGCAAAGGGAGAAGGGATGGAAATGGGAGTGCATAAAACTACCAAATACAAACAAGCAGAAGATTGGCTCAAAGAAAAATAAAAAAAAAGTCTCTCTGCCCAAGGCTGTTTAAGTTTGATTACCCTTTGCAACAAGAAATGCTTAATTATAAAGACTGTATAGCTGAACTTCTAGTACCTTACTGTGGTCACACAACTCCTACTCTGAATTCATGCTTGCCCTTGCTTAAGATCTTATAAACTATCCCTCACCATCTTTGTAAGGTAAAGCTTCTTGCGACAAATGCTGGTGCTTCTGCAGCCAGTGACTGTCTACTACATCCATAGTCTCTTGGATTTTTGTTACCAGTTATTTGTCACCTTTTGTTAAATGAGACCTCTCCTATAGTGCAAAATAAATATGTGATTGCTGAAGAGTCACACTATTACAATAATTAAGAAATTAAGACGAGGTAAAAAAAAGATCTATTAGGTTTTTTTACAAATGTGGGCACTTGGTTTAAAGCATTTTCTCCCTTTGATTTTTATTTATTCTTAAGAGGTAACATTAGCCAGGATTCACAAGTAAAGAAATGCTTCTGTGAGAATCCTAAATGTTGGGGGTACCAGGATGAGGTTTACTTTGACTGTCCCCATCTTCTTCCCTAAAGCCATTTGACTAATGCTGATAGAACCTATGTTGCTCTCCATAGCTTACCTAACTACAGGAATGCTGCTGCAATCAAGATGCCTTTATTACGGTAAAGAATTGCTATCTCAGCATGATCTCACTCTGGATCACCCCTCACATCATCAGCTTTCAATAGGCTTACGACTTGTGTGGATTACTAAGCAATTGCTGTAAAAATAATAGTGCTGGGAATTTTATATTTTTATCATATTTTGTTTCAGTTGTGAAAAATAACTTCCTAGAGGACCGTCATTCCTGGAAGGTGTGTCAACTCACAGTGCCAGAGATGAGCTCGCTCTGGAGTAGCTCTTCAGCAAACATTGTTCAAAAGTACAAAATTTGTACCTTGGACAAGCAAATTAACTCTGGAAACATAAATATGTCAGACTGAGGCCTTCACCTATAACATACGAAAGGAAAACAACGTTTTGACACCTTTTCAGTAGCGGTTATTGTTATGATTGCTTTCTTACATTCATACAACACAAACTCAACACAGTTCATAGTTCAAGTCTCTTTTGAAATATACAGGTATTTAATTAGCTCACTTTGGATACTACCCTATGATATACTTCCTTCCAAGCAGGCTGGAATTAAAACAGAAGAAGGGTCCTCAGTTTTAAGAATAAAAGGCATTTTTCTCAAAACAGGCTGTTGAAACTGAAACAAAATTGATAGATTGGAGGAAGCCAAATATAGGGACATGCAAGTTACAGGACGTTGAAACTTCTGTGTAGGAAGAGGTTAGTCTTCAAGGGTGGAAGAAAATAGGAAAACACCATGATGACACCATGCCCCGAAAAGCGCCATATATATTTATGTACAATTAGACAGACACAC